AGAGAATCATCAGGTCATATTTCGAAAACCTATATTCCTCAAAATTCAATAATCTAAAGGAAATGGACAATTTTCTGGACAGATTTCACTAACAAAATTAAATCAAGAACAGATAAGCAACTTAAATACACCTATAACCCCTAATGAAATTGAAGCAGTCAGCAGAAGTCTCCCAACCAAGAGAAGCCCAGGGCCAGATGGCTTCAGTGCCGAATTCTACCAGAAATTCAAAGTAGAGCTAATACCAATTCTCAAAGTATTCTACACAATAGAAGCTGATGGGTCATTACCAGATTCTTTTTGTGAGGCTTCAATAACCTTGATACCCAAGCCACACAAAGACACAATTAAGAAAGAGAACTACAGACCAATATCCCTCATGAACATTGATGCAAAAATTCTCAATAAAATACTGGCAAATCAATTCCAAGGATATATCAGAGAAATCATCCAACCCGATCAAGTAGGCTTCATCCCAGGGATGCAAGGATGGTTCAACCTATGAAAATCCATCAATACAATCCACCATATAAACAGACTGAGGAAAAAATCACATGATCATCTCACTAGATGGCGAAAAAGACTTTGACAAAATCCAACACCCCTTCAAGATTAAGGTCTTGGAGAAATCATGGATAACATACCTCAACATAATAAAAGCAACATACAGCAAGCCGACAGCCAACATCAAATTCAATGGAGAGAAACTCAATGCAATTCTTCAAAATCAGGAACAAGACAAGGATGTCCACTCTCTCCATGCCTCTTCAATATTGTCCTTGAAGTTCTAGCTAGAGCAATAAGACAACAAAAGGAGATCAAGGGAATACAAATCAGAAAGGAAGAAGTCAAACTCTCACTATTGGCAGATGATATAATAGTCTATATAAGTGAGCCAAAAAACTCTAACAGGGAACTTCTACAGCGAGGTGGTAGGATACAAGATTAACTCAAAAAGTCAAAAAAATCTGTGGCCCTACTATATATGGATGACACATTGGTGGAGAACACAATCAGAGAAACATCACCTGTTACAATTGCCACAAACAACATAAAATATCATGGTGTAACACTAATCAAAAAAGTGAAAGACCTATACCATATGAATTTTGAGTCTCTAAAGAAAGAAATTAAAGAAGATACCCGAAAATGGAAAGATCTCCCATCCTCTTGGATGGGC